ATCACCAGCCTTCTGGTTAGCAGTCAAATGCCTTAGGCACTATGCCACAAGAGCAAGAAAATCTTATGGGCTGTTTCACTCTATGACACGGGGTCTCCATGAGTTGGTATTGAATTGATAGCACCACCAACAACAGCATGGGCTGTATTTAACCATGAAGTAATCATAAAGAGGCTCCTTTTACAGTTCTCCAACCTTCAAGGTCTCTTTAGATACTTATATTAAAATGACACTTTGGTAATGTTCTAAAAAAAGTTCATATAGCATCTCTAGGTACCCATCTTACAATTAAGGAGTTGGCATTGCAGTGGAAAATCTGAGTTTTAGAAAACCACAGAAGTGTCTGGGAAATAGGATCTTCAGCCTGAAGCTTGTAAGCACTAGACAGACAAGGGTCTTGTGGGACATAGGGCTCTGTCTCAGTGTCACTCTGGGGGTGGGTCAGAGGAAAGAGCCCTCCAATTGGATTGTGAAGGGTCATAAAGACATGGCTGAGTTGCCATATTGAAAGCTCTCTTTCCATCTCATCGAGTCCATAATTTCCTGGGAGATAGATGGATTCCCAGGAAGGAAGGCATGGGCGATATCACCCAATAACCTGACTTCTGAGGATGAATATGGAAGTTGGTTACCAATAGGAGGAGGTCTATACCCAGAGCCTATAATTTAGGTGAATAGCTATTGGTTAAAGAAATAGATTATTGAACAAAATAGAGAAAAAGAGATGGAGAGAGACAAGGAGACAGAGACAGGGATCTGAAGGTCAGTGTCCCCTCATCAAGTCATCAGACCTGGCCTTCCCCATTCCTCAGCCATTTGTCACATCTTACTCTCTTCTCTCTGAAATCTGCATACATGCATATATATTCTAGAAGACTCCATACGGTTTTGGAATAAATTATACACCCAACCAAGGCTGATTATGAAACAGAAAGTAGAAACAGCTTTGGCCGAAAGTTATGAAATCTGAAATCTTCCCTGGCTCTGCCACTAATTAGCTGTATGATCCTATGAAGTTAATTTAATGGCCTTTCTGTAAACAGAAGAAGTTGCAGCAATTTGCTTCCCAATCGAACATTGTGATTTTAAGACAACCGGAGTCTAGAAACAAAACAGAAGAAAAAGATGGATGCAGGAGTCAGATACCTGCAAAATGGCCTCAGGGTACGGAGACTTCTGGATCTGCTGCACGATCTCACAGCCAGTGAAGTTCTTCGGGGCCACCGGGATGCGTTCATGATCTCCAACTTTGTTAAACTGGAGCACCTAGTTAGAATTAGAGAGAATGGTTGCACTTCTTGCTAAACCACTTGTAAAACCAGTGCCTCTCAGGTGTCTTTTCATGTTTTTTCTGTCAGTTTCTTGCCTTTGTGT